CCCTGATTTAACACGAGAAAAGGAGACAGAGCTGGGGGTGTGGCGCAGAGGTAGAGCGTGCCAAGGTCCTGGGTTCAGTCCAAGCATTGCAAAGACAAAGGAGAAGGAGAAGAGGGAGAGGGAGAAGACGGAGGAGGGACCGAAACCCAGAGAAGTGAACCCGGAGGCAGAGACTGTGTCATGCTGCCACCTGACAGGGAAGCCCTGGGGCACAGGAAGCTAGGAGAAGCCACTAACATTCTCCCCTCGAGGTCTGGGAGCTGGCAGAGCTGCCGACACCTTGGTTTCAGACACCCAGGCTCCAGACTTCTGAGACAAAGTGTCCAGCCACCCATTTTGAGGGCCTCGGTCACAGCAGCCCTAGGAGTGAATGCTGCCTGTCTCCGGGTGTGCTCCTCCAATCCTTCCCCAGGTCGCTCTGTGGCTCAGAATTCCAGTGGCATTCCTAATGCCAGCCTGTCCCTGGTTCCTGGCTGTTCCTGGGACAGCATGTGGGGGCTGAAGGCACCTCCCACCCCGCCAGCTCCAGCCTTCCTCTCTTTCCCCTCCCCCGCCACCTTTTACTGAGCACCCAACACTGACCCAGACCACAGCATGGCCAAGGGTCTTCCCGAGTCCTTTGTGACACTCTCACATTCAATCCGGTGACAGATTCCTTCAGCTCTATCTTCAAAATGTCTTCTTGGTCGTTCGCTCCCACCGTGATCACCCTGTTTAAAGCCAAATTCTCTGTCACTTGCAAAAGTGGCCACTGTCCTTGGCTCCTCCTGCATTCGGTTCCTCCGCAGCGGGACCCTGTGGTTCTTTCCTTCAGCAGGTGAGGGCTTACTTCTCCTCCCTTGAATCTGAGCTGATCTTGGGACTTACTATGGTCACTCTAGTCTAGTATGACAGGAGCGTGGCTGTGTGCAGGTTCTGACCTGGGCCTCAACCTGGGCTTGCCCGCTTCCTAGAATTTGGCCACCCCCTAAGCACAAGCCCAGGGCCACCCATTAGAAGAAGATGGTCCTCAGGCAGAGACTGGCCATCCCAGCAGGACCGTCCTAGGCCAGCCAAGACCCCAGCTAACCCCACTTGCTGACCACAGACCCCCGTGCCCAGCCTAGGTCCCCTGAGGCTGGCCAGGATTCGCAGAAATGCTCTATTGACCTGTAGACTCCTGGGAAGTTGTATTCTGTGTGTTGGGTTCATTTGTTACACAGCTGTAGCTAACTGATACAACCTCTTCACTGATCTCTAGGCGTTCAGTTCCCCTCTTAGAATATTCTGTCTTCTGAGAAGCCACAGGGGTCTCTTCTCTATTCATTATTCTCCATAGTGGTTCCCTTGTGCAAGCAGAATGAAATGCAAGCTCTAGACCACAGCCTGCAAGACCTGGGCATGTCCCTGGCTCTCCCATCCCTTGCTGCTTCAGCCATTGCTGACCTTCATCTCTCTCCCCTCTGCGGGAGCTCGTCCCTGATCTCCTTCTTGCCCTTCAGGCATTAGCTCAACTATTTCCCGGGAGAGTCCTACCCTCAAGCCGCGGTCCCCTCCCCTCTGCCCAGGCTCCTCCTGTCCCTCCACCTCACTTTCAATTTCTCACTTCTTGCAAGAATTTTTGCCGAGGTGCGTGTGTCTCCCAACTGGAATGTCCCCCCAGTGTCCTGTTATACCATTCAGCTTATCTCCCCAGCACTGTGGCTCTGTGAAAGCCAGAAGGTGACCGTTGGGACTCACTGCTGTACCCTTAGTCATTAAGAGAGTTCCCGGCCCATAGTAGGTGCTCACTGTGTGGGAAGTGGATGAAGAACAGCTCCAGGGAGAAACACCTGTGCAGCTCCCGAGCCCTCCCTGCACAGGTCTCTCGACCCCGCTCCCCTGTCCACTGTCCCCTCCATTCAGACTCAGCTAATGCGGGCTCCCCCACCTGCCACTCTGTCCCTGGCTGCAGACTTGGTCCCCTTGACCTTCCCCTGTGTCTCACTCAAAGGCCCTGTGACTCCTGTTTATCCACAAGTTTTGCCTGAGCGCCTCTGTTTCCCGAAAGTCTTCCCTACCCTTCCTCTTCCCCCAGGCTGCGGGGATGAGCCTCCATCCCTGGCTCTCCTTGGCACTTGACTCCCTTCACTGTGCTTTGACTGGTTCCTCCTCTGTCCTTGGGACGCTAAGCCCTGTGTGGACAGAGTAATGGAGAACTGGGATCCCAAACATCCGCCTGCTGTCCATCACCCCGAACACTTCACCAGGTGTCGGGGAGAGGGACGGGATGCTGGGCCCTGGATCCTTTGCCTTCAGACCTCTTAGTGCTACCTGGAAGGATGGAAGAAGTAAACCACCCCAGCTCTGCAAGAAAGGATCCAGGGGTCTTAGTGGACCACAAGGAGAATGCAGAAATCCAACCATATAATGCAACTGGTGCGGGGCAAGAAAAAGGATGAATAAATAAAATCTAGGTTACCCCAAAGTCATCCCTTATTACTGGAAAATAATTCAGTCATGGGCTTCATGCCTTATTAAAGACCTGGGCTGAGACTCTTCCTGGTCATTCATTTTAAGGAGAGACGTGGTAATGATCCTGGAGAGAGAAACTGAATTGTAGGTAGAAAACTAGGGGGGAGATCTAGTCTGAAGATGAAGGCGCTAAACGGCCGCTGTTACATTGCTGTGGTTGATATATCCGACATTTAACTTTTCAGGGCCATTTAATCTGTTATTTAATTTGTTCCTCATCCCTTGTCCTTCCTGAACACAAATATTTACTAGACAATGAGACCTGACATCTTCCCTTCCACAGTGGTTGGAGTGAGAGAAAATAGTTGGAATTGCAGCAGGAGAGAGGCAGGCTGGACAGGCTGAAGGACTTCCTGGAAGTGAAGACCCTGGATGCAGGAGAGAAATTGGCAGAACCTCATCCTGATTTGCTGAGTCTGCAGGAGTGAGGTTTGAAGATGGTTCTGGGTTTTGCTTTTGGCTGAGATACTATCGACAGGGCTCCTAACACCTGGGCATTGCTATGGTTTGGATCTGGTTTGAGTGTGCCCCCAGCGGTTCCTGTGCATGGGCATCTGAGGGGTGATTGACATCTGAGAGGACCTGTGAGAGGCAGGGCCTCATGGGAGGGCACTGGGGGCAGTGCCTGTGGGACCCTGGTTACTTCTCCTAGGAGGTTGTCATGAAAGAGTAAGCTGGCCCTTCCCCCTCTCGGGCTTCCTGTCTTGCCATGTGATTGTTGCCTTCTGTGTGCTCTTGCCTTGAGGCCATCTGCTGTGATGAGATGCAGCCAATGAGGCCCTTGCAAGAGCCACTGCCCTACCGTTTGAATCTTTAGCCTTCAAAGCTATGAACTAAATGAACCTCTTTGCTTTCTAAGTCACCCAGCCTCAGGTATTTTGTTATAGGAACAGAAAATGGACTAATATAGTTTTTTTTTTTTCAAAAAATACTTTCCTTTTCTGCTTTTGAACTGCTGCTTCTCTCAAAGGAACAGGTGTTTACTGGAAAGGAGTGTCATCTCATCATACGCACCTGGTTTCTTGAGATTCTGGTGAGTTTTGCTGTGGTTTTATCCTAACATAGCAGGGCTCACTGAGATCTTGCTCATGTTGCTGTGGCGTCCCAGCTCCTCCAAGGGGCCCCACCTCTCAGCTGTGACTGTACCTCTGGTGTGGGCTTTGGTAGCATGGGGTCTGGTGGTCTCCAGGGCCTTCCTCTGACCCAGGGTGGTGACTCTCATGGGAAGGCCACTGACCTCTGAGGGGTCACTTTAGAGCCTCAGTGTGAGCATGGAAATTTAAAGGCCCATGGACCGAGAATGCCTGCCATTTTTCTTTGCGGAGTCCAACAGTCACGGTGGCTCGCTGGGCCCGGCTGGAGCGCTGTGCACACGGGTGGTTTTATGAGTCTTGCTCCCCGGGCTGTGTACTCGCTCTCAGACCCAGGGACCATCCCATTTTAGGGTTTACCCGGGGAGGACCTAGATTTAGCACCAGTAGCTTTTTAACGTTGCTTGACTGACATGCACAGGCCTGATTTTGAGGATCATTTCTAGGAATGCAGCCACTGGGAAGTCAGTTCCCTACCCAGCCCAGGGGACCATGGGAACAGCTCTTAGGTGTCAATGTCCGGGCTTCTTTACTCTTCACGGCAACTCTGCTCAGCAGCTACCATCATTAGTACCATTTTGCAGATGCATAAACAAAGGCACAGAGAGGTAAAGTGGATTACTTAAAGTCACACAGCTAATAAGTGAGGCAGGCGGGTTTCAAACTTACTTAAAATGCTTATGGGGACTAGAGGGGCTTGGGTCTGTAGCTCTGACTGGCAGAGGTGCCAGGATGGGGAGGACCTATCTCTGAACAGTCCTGCAGGATTTGCCCGTGGTCTCTGCCATGCAAGAAGGTGGATCAGGAGGCTGAGGTGAGGACCCTGTTTATATCCTGCCATTCCTCATCTGTGTGACTCTGGCCAAGTTTCTTACCCTCTCTGGTCTTTGCTTTAAGGGAATAACGAGGTCCTGGACGTACAGACATCAGGGTCCCTACCAGCTCCGAAAGCTCCCAGCTCCGAGGTGGAAAGCCCGTAGGTGTGAGTCCCCGAGAGTCCCCTTGTTGACCGAAGCTGTCCCCTGTTCACTGGGTGAATCTCCTTGTCCTTCACAAAGGGGGCCAGCACCCCCCAGGGCCAAGTCCTGCACAGGAGTCCCCGTCAGCCCTTGCACCTTCTGCCCTTCCTGGGGTGGCTTTGGGGACTCTGCGTCCCCACTGTGTCACTAAGACCTCCTTCTTAAGGAGCCCTTTCCTGGGGGCAGGAGGAGAAACAAGGTTTATTTCTGGTTGGTTTGGACTTGGGTGTCGAGGCAGAGCCTACCCAGGCACAAGGATGCACGCTCTGAGTGTCACTGTCTAAGAGAGACGCACTATGTCTGGAGGGCTGTGGCCATGGGCCAGAGGGCGGCTGGCACCTGGTGGCCAAGGGCCCCAGGGCAGGAGGACCCGCAGGCTGCGATGGCCAAGAGCCGCTTAGGGGGCTGTACTGGAACTTCGGCCGAAAACCTTCTTAGAGTCGATCTCTGACTCAGTCATGTGGGGGTGGATGTCCATGTTGAGCCCCGCGTCCTTGCAGAGTTTGAGCAGGGTCCGGATGTTGTTCTTGGACAGTCTCAGGTACCTGCACAGGAGAAGGGGTGACAGTTGCAAGTGGCATCAGGGTAGCCTCTGTCTTTACAGATAAGGGCTTACCTTTAAGGAGCACACCATGTGGGACCGCTCCAGGGGACTGGCTCTCCAGACACCAGCGGTGAAGGGGGTAGGGTGTGGCCGGAGGAGTGGGTCGCTGGGGCGTGGCCGTGGGATGTCACATGGTGGGTCTCTCTGCTTCCCGATCACCATGCCAGCCGCCCCCCTCCACCACATCCTTCCATAGGGGTTCAGCCTCACCTCCAGCCCCAGGAATGAAGTCGGCTGTCTATGGCCTGAGAGCCCTGAACCCTGAGCCCTCACGTACACTCTCCCCCTCTACAGTGGGTTCTGGTCCAGACTCTTAGTCACAGCCGTGAAAAGAGCTGATTGAAACATCCACTCGTCTCAAGTAAAGGATCAGTGGAAGGAGAAGCTGCGGAGGAGACAGGGTGCGTGTGGGCGTCCTCAGCACAGGGACCTGAGCAGTTCCATCAACAGAGGAATTCTTGAGCAAAGAGCCGACTGTCCCAATCTGAGGGCTCTTAATTAAAATGCCATAATTAAAATGGCACTAGCAAGAACACAGTGTAACGCGGCTGTCACCTGAAGCCAAGTGGGGAGAAGAGCCTAGAGTGTAAATCATTGTGTGCCGTGTCTCCTCCGAGGCCCCTACTCCGAGAGATGCCCAGGGCTTCGGGAAACACGGAATGGTGGCAATAGTGGCCAAACAGCGCTAGGGACAGAAGTGCATGTTTTATGCTAGTACTATTCAGGCACTTGAGAAAATTAGGACACTGATGGACGCTGTTTTCTGAAGCCCCACAATCTGACGTATGTTGAAGGATGGAAGAGATTCCATTTTTACTGTAGGTTCTAGAAAGTACCCCTGCTGTTCTGGCCAGAGAACTTATTCCACCATTAACCCTGACCTTCCTTCCTCCGTGAGGGAAGGAAGCAGGGCACTCAGGCCACCTGCTGGTGGTACTTTGTACAGATGGTGGAGGAGGAGCGGCCTTCGGATGGGAATGGCCTCCTTTCTCCTCCCGGAACCTCCCAGAGCTCACTTGATCTCACACCCTCACCTATCCCCACATCCGGACCACCCTTTCCTTGGCTCCAAACGCAGCCCCTCCCCTTCCTCTCTGACCAGCCCAAGCCTCTGAGGTCCCCCCTTGGGCGTTCTTCATGAGCCCACTCTGAACCACTGCATCCTTCCCTCGGGTGGTTTTATAATGGCTTCCTACGTGGGTCTCTTTAAACGCTCTCTCCCCCTCCTTGGGGGGCCACAGTCCTATCCAAATCTCTTTTCTTCCCACCCTGGAGTCAGAGTCAGAGTCAGAAACACATGATCGGTCTGAAAGCCACAGCCAAAGTCACCCAGCCATGGATTGCCCACCAGGGCCACCAGCTGGGGACCCTGCCTGTTCATCCTGCAGCCAGTGAACCATCATCCCACTGTCCCGCCCCTTAGCTGGGCAGGAAGCAGAGCGCGCGTGGCAGTGGGGCCACTTGACTTCCTGCCACCGTGGTGGCCGTGTGACACCAGGGATGCGTTTATTGATGTTGATCTCACAAGGATGACCACCTCACTCTGCTGTCTCCTTTCCCTTCAGCCAATGTTCTGGGACTTTGTCATTTATGTCTTTATAGTAAGGATAACACTGGGCCAGGGAGGGGGATCCTTGTTTTTTTTTTTTTTGGGTGGGGGGAGGGTGGAGGGAGGCCAAGCTGAGAAACAGAGAGTCCTGATAAATGAGTGAGCAAGCAAGAAAGGAGGCCTTTGGTAAGAGCAGCCTCCATCAAATGGCCTCACTTGGTTCATGGTCCTGCTAGGAGTCTAAAGGTCGGAAACTATAGCAGGATGCCGCTGGGGACTGTGGCTACCACTCCACCCCACAGTGTAAAGGATCTTAGTAGAACTTCCTGTTAAGACCAGACCACAGGCAACTCGTTCTTTTTTTCTTCTTTTTTCTTCTTTCCCCCCACTCAGATTGAACCCAGAGGCAATTTACTACCGAGATGCATCTCTCATCTCTGGTTCTGGCTAAGCTGCTGAGGCTGGCCTGAACTTTCCATCCTCCTGCCTCAGCCTCCCCTCTTGCTGGGATGATGGGCAGGGGTCACTGTTCTTTTTTTTTTCCTTTTTGAATTCTATTCATGGCTTCTATTGGGTAACCAATGGAGCTATTGGAAGGGTGGCACCACGGGCAGGTGAGGCTGCTGGGGAACCCACTGGCTTGGCTGGAACGGTCCTTTGGGACTCAAGGCCGGAGCTGTCTTGGGTCCCAAAGCTCCGAACCTGGAGTCAGCCGTGAGCGCAGCCTCCCACTCTCCTCGCCCCGGGGCTGCTCACCGGCAGCTGAGCACCTCCTCGGGCTTGAGCATCTTCAGGGACTCCATCTTGGGCTCCGTGCTCTTATCCATGAGGGTCTTCAGCTTGCGCTCAAAAGACACGTCCTGCGCCTTGCTCCCCCAGTCTCGTATGAGGGTCCCCCTGCGGCTGCTGAAGATGGCTTCCTGCAGCAGCGGGTCTCCGATGCTGCTCTGCCGGCGGAACATGCTGGGCCGCTGAGTGGACTCTAGGGCGATGGCGTCCTTGATGTCCAGCTCTGAAATGGGACAGATGCCACCGTGAGTCAGCGCCGGGGAGGGGAGAGGCGAGCGGGGCTTCGGGTCTAAGGAGGCGGCTTGCAAGGCTCCCCAGAGTCCCTTTGCACCATTGGATCTCCCTCCATCTTTCCTCTCCGCCTTCCTCAGGGAGAATTCACCTAAGGAAACTGGTCTAGAGGGAAATCAGAGGGGACAAGCTCTGGGGACAGGAGCGATGCTAAAGGACGAATAGTTCGTTAGACAGAAAAAGGGAGGAAATGACTGCAGGCTGGAGGGACAGCATGCATGGAGCCACAAATATGCGAAACTGGGAACATCTGAGGTGACCCAAATATGGCATTCCTACAGAATACAATCCTACTGGGGCCAGAGCTTGAGATCTTCATTTTCTTCTTCTTCTTCTTCTTCTTCTTGTTAAATTCCTCTAATTATTTTATAAACTTTTACTTATGAGAATGGAAATGTCTTCTACCCATTCCATTTTTAATTGATGTGACTCCTATAAAGAAAAGTCTATTATGGTTTCTTCAAATGTATTTGTCTAGTTCACCAACAAACAGTGCATTTTGTCAATTAGTAAATTTTATTGATTTTTTTTACAAGACTATCTTGACTTTGGCAGAATCATATTTGAGAAAAATAAAAAAAAATGTCCTCCCACTATTTATAAAAATTATGTTTTCTTCTTGACATATTGCATTTGACAGACCCTGTAAAATAATGGGAGGATCAGGTGGTCTTTGCAATCTCTGTTTTTTTTTTTTTTCAGAATAGAAATTGATGCTGTGTTCTAGGAGAATCACCATTTGAATATTCTTCTTAATACAAATGGGGAATCCCTTGAGGAAAGGACCATAGACTTTTCTGAGACTATCTGATCCTCTTCTGGGTCAAAGTGGGCCTATATTGGAAATAGCCGTCAAGGGCTCTCTAGGGAGGTAGGGGCATGGTAGTCTCATGCCTGTATCAAACTCATTTAACAAATTAGAAATGCGAAGATCAGAAAGCTTAGGCACTGGGCACAAGATGCCATATCTAATTTGTGATAAACTTAATGAACCTAGGTGGACAACCCCTTTTCCTGGGAGTCTGTGCTGGCCACTCTTTGGGACAATATTGATCCACATTTCTGGGTCTGTGGTTGAACAGGTAAGTTGTATTTCCTGTGGGCCATGTTTGGGACTCCAGGACCCTACATGGTATTCATGAGTCAACAGGGTGTTTTGTTCTGTGTCCCTCTGCGTTAGCAAGGCACTTAGCATCTGCAGGATACTCTGGCCATAGGTTCCCAGCAGGGAAGGCCAATTGAATTCCCCTTGCCCAGTCCCAGCTACTCAGATTTTGCCAAGATTGACTTTGGAAATGTGTTCCAATTGTTTCTCAGGGTCTTTTATTGCCCACATCAGGCAGAGGGGAAATAACACCAGATAGCTTGCCTCGCAGGCACAAGTTCAATCCCCAGCCCCACAAAAATAAATAAACAAAATTTTAAAAAATGTAGTTTTTAAAATAAATTGTGCAGTTTATATATAACCTAATTTTTTGGAATGAATTTTGTTTTTAAAAAAATTTTAATATATATGTTTTAGTTATCGATGGACAGAATGCCTTGATTTTATTTATTTATTTTTATGTGGTGCTGAGGACTGAAGCCCGGGTCTCACATGTGCCAGGCAGTTGGCTCCACCGCTGAGCGACAGCCCCCGCCTTGAGAAAGGTAATTTTGACGGCAGCAGCACGAAGGCTGGGAGAGGAAGGAGCCAGCGAAGTCATTTCTTGTACCTTGCGGTGGAGTGAAGGTCAGTGATTGGAAGTGAGAGACGACCTGCCGCGACTCCCGACTAAATCAGCCAGGGTCACTCCAGGTGAATTGGGCTGGCACTAAATAATCACACAAAGTCAGAGGAAATACCTTTTTCTGGGGGGTTCAGTGCCCCAGCTCCCACAAGGAAGACTGGCAAAAAAGAGGGAGACCTCCCGGAGCCCTGCCGATTGAGGGGAAGACACTCAAAAGTTCCACCAATAGGAAGCGAGGGGTTGGGTTTCAGGGGGTGGAGCCCAGTCGCCTTGGGTGACGCCCACTCGCAGAGCTCCACTCCCCTGCTGATTGGAGGTGAGGTCCCCCTGCTTTTCGCTGCAGCAAGCTGGTCCCACACCCCCATTGCTCGAGGCTAAGGGTGCTCAGCTCCTAGGTGGCAGCTCCTGATAATGAACTCCGTAAATTCCATGGTGTAGCCTCTCCCCCTCCCCCCCCCCCTCCCCCCCCCCCCCCCCCTCCTCGTTTTTTGTAGCTGTAGATGGACTGCTGAGAGCCACGGCTCAGTCTGTATGGCCCCTGGCATTTTGCCAACAGTATTGATTGACAGGCGCCTCTGCCGCAACTCGGAGTTCTCGTGGGGATTTCTGGGGATTCCCCGAGAGTTCCCATTGGTTGGGGAAGTGCAGGAGGAGGGATTTCGGGGAGAGATATTTCCGGCTGGGGGTTCCTGGACAAGCCTAGTGGCGCATTCGGGAGGATTCCCCGGGAGCTGTGTGAAGTGTTTTTCTGCAGTTTAAAAATAAAGTTTGTTCCTGCTTCAGTGGCTCGTGATTTGTGCCCAGCCAGACTGCGGCATTTGGTGGCCCGTGCGGGGAATGTCTGAAGCTTCGGGGTAAGTGAAATTGCTTGCCCCTAAGGGAAGGCGAGAGAATGGGTGACCATTTTAAAGAACAATGTGTTCTTGTTTTGATTTGTTTTGTGTTTGTTTCAAGCTGCCTATCCCTAGAATTTTCTCAGGCAGATTGGGAAAAATGGTTGGCTCAAGGTTTGAAGTTGTTCACCCCTGAGGAAGAGATAGAAATAGACCACAAATGCACATATCAAGAAAATAGGAAAATTGATACAACAATTTTTTGTTCCGTTTTTGTTTCATTCTGTTTCGGTTTTGTTTTGTGCTATCTTATTGGGTTGCGTTATCTTTATAACAGATTAGAAATTAGTAAAAAACAAACTGAAAGAGTGTTAAGTAAATTGTTAGAGGTTCAGACCATGGAGAAAGACATTTTAGATCAAGCAAAAGAGAAGGTCTCTCAAGCTAGTCAGACAGAGGAAGAAAATTTAAAGGAAGAAAGCTTAGAGGAGAAACAGCTATTAGGGAAAAAGCTACAACAGGAGGCTGCTACTAACACCGTTATATCACCAGAGGGCGTAATTCAACCAACAGCACCCCCTATGGAGATAGCTGAGTGGCCCTCAAACCCCGTAGTTGATAGATGGGATCCTGAGACAGGACCTCAAAGATTAGCATGCCCTGTACTTGAGCAGGCAGGAGGGCAGCGAATTCACCGTGCTTTAGATTTCAAAACAGTGAAGCAGTTAAAGGAGGCTGTAACAACCTATGGTCCTCAAGCACCGTTCACTGTAAGCATGGTCGAATCCATTACCAACTTGGACATGACGCCAGCAGATTGGGCTAGTATGTGTAAATCTGTGCTAAATGGAGGACAATATTTGTTATGGAAGGTTGCCAATGAGGAATTTTGCAGGGAGACAGCTAGGCGAAATGCAGCAGCCGGTTACCCTCAAAGAAATCTAGATATGTTGTTAGGAAAAGGACCTTATGAGGGTCAACGGCAACAAATTGAATATGATCCTGGCGTATACGCACAAATTGCTGTAGATGCGGTTAGGACATGTAAAACTTTACAGGGGCATGGAGGTTTACAAGGTCAATTATCTAAGGTAATACAAGGAACTAATGAACCTTACGCTGAATTTGTAGATAGGCTTATTCAAGCAGCTTCTAGAATTTTTGGGGATACAGAACAGGCAATGCCATTTATAAAACAACTGGCTTATGACCAAGCAAATCGTTGTTGCAGAGAAGTCATTAGACCATGGAGACATGAAGATTTAAACACATATATTAAATTATGTAGAGACATTAATGAACAAGGGCAAGTCTTAGCAGCAGTACAACAGGCTTTAGATGCCAGGCCAAAAACATGCTATAATTGTGATCAAACAGGACATTTTAAAAGGAGTTGCCCCATAGGAGGAGGGTTTAACAAAGCTAGATATCAAACGAATAGAATACCGGGTATTTGCCCACGATGCCGTAGAGGGAAACATTGGGCTAATGAATGCCGTTCTCAAACCACCATAGAGGGTATTCCGTTATCAAAAAACAGACAAGGACCAAGTGTTTACCCACGATATCGTGGAGAAAGGCATCGAGCTCCATTGCCAAAAAATGGACAGGGGGGCCCAATGCTCCGGGGCCCACGACCACAAATGTACGGGGCACTGGAGGAACCCAGAAACACCATCAGGGTAGTGCCCAGGACACATTATCCATCAGATCTCTCATCAGACGAACCAGAGGGAGCGCAGGGTTGGACATCTGCGCCTCCGCCAGAGCAGTACTAACTCCAGAGATGGGAGTTCAAATCATTCCCACAGGAGTAAAAGGACCCCTTCCCCAAGGAACAGTAGGCTTATTGTTAGGACGCAGTTCTTCTACGCTAAAAGGACTTATGATAAGTCCCGGGGTAATTGATCCCGATTAGGAAGGTGAAATAAAAATTATAGCTAGTTCTCCAAAGGGTATATCAGTAATTTCACCAGGAGATAGAATAGCACAGTTATTAATAATACCCAGCCTACATGATAAATTTTCCAGTAGTACTATAGAAAGAGGTTCCAGGGGATTAGGCTCCACAGGTGTAGATTGGGCTATGCTGTCTTTAAATTTAGATTCTCGCCCCATGCTAAAACTAAATATTCAAGGACATGAATTTAATGGGCTATTGGATACAGGTGCAGACCTTAGCATCATATCTCGTCAAGAATGGCCACAACATTGGCCATTACAACAAGCCACTCAAACGCTTCGAGGCCTAGGAGTGGCAACTAATCCCCATAGAAGTGCAATGGTATTAGATTGGAAGGATCCTGAAGGATGCGAAGGAACTATACAGCCATATGTATTGGATCATCTTCCTATAAATTTATGGGGAC